GGACTGGGGCAGCCAGAACAGGGGCATTCACAAGAGCCTGCTTCAGTGCCTGAAACACGGCTTCACAAGCTGGAGACCACAGGACCTGCTTAGGTAGATCCTTTTGTCAGGTCAGTCAGGGGTTTGGCAATAGTACTGTAATCTGGGACAAAACGTCGGTAATACCCTGCTGTTCCCAGGAAGGCTAGCACCTGGGTCTTTGTGATAGGTGTGGGCCAGTTAGCCACCACCTCTATCTTGGCTGGCTCTGGTCTCTGGCTCCCACACCCTACTCTGTGACCCAAGTACTGTACTTCAGCCATGCCTAGATGGCATTTTTCCGGCTTCAAGGTCAGGTCGGCGGCCCGAATCGTGTCCAGAACTACCCCTATGTGTACCAGGTGTTCTTCCCAGGACTCACTGTAGACCGCAATGTCATCCAGGTATGCACATGCAAATTCCTGGAAGCCATCGAGAAGTCTTCATTCCAAATGGCATGACCTTAAACTGGTACAGACCAAATGGGGTGACGAATGCCGACTTAGGGATAGCGTCCTCGGCCAGGGGGATCTGCCAGTAACCCTTACACAGGTCTATGGTGGTCAGATAGCGTCCCCTGGCAATACGGTCTAGTAATTCGTTTACCCGGGGCATTGGGTAGGCTTCAGTGGTAGTCCGCTCGTTCAGCCGCCTGTGGTACCAACTTTCTTAGGCACTAGGACCACAGGTGAGGCCCAAGGACTGTCCGAGTGTTCAATGACTCCAAGCCTGGTCATCTATTTCCTTCCGCATTCCTTCCCGGACTGCTTCAGGGATACGATAGGGTGGCTGCCTTAAGGGATTCTGTCCGGGGGTTTCTATCTTGTGTACAGCTAGCGTGGTGTAGCCTGGTTCTTGGGAGAACGTCGCCTGCTTCTCCCACAGAAGCTGTCTTGCCTGTACCTTCTCTGTGGGGCTTAGCCGATCCCCTAGCTGTACAAGACTAGTGAGGTCAGTCTGGGGGTCCTTCTCTAATAAGTCAGGCAGGGGTAAATTCTCTGGGTCGTCGGTAGCTGGGGCACATACTGCAGCGACATCTTCTGGTCTCTCCTGATACTCCTTCAGCATATTCACATGGAAGGATCGCTGAATCCTTTCATCTGCACAGCTGGCTATAAGGTAGGTAGTATCACATATTTGGGCTACTATCTTATACGGGCCCTGCCAAGATGCTTGCATCTTGTTCGTCTTCACAGGCTTGAGCACTAAAACCTTTTGCCCCACCTGGAAGACCTGCTGTCGAGCTCCCCGATCGTACCACCTTTTCTGTCTCCCCTGGGCCGCCTGGAGATTCTCTCTTACCATCAGAGACAGTTTCTCCATGCGGTCCCGGAGTTCCAGGACATATGGTACTATAGGGGTTCCTTCCTGCTCTGTCTCTCCCTCCCAGTGTCCTCTAATGAGATCCAAGGGTCCGTGGACCCTTCTCCCATAGAGTAGCTCAAAGGGGGAGAACCCAGTAGATTCCTGGGGCACCTCTCTGTATGCAAATAACAGATGAGGCAGAAATCGCTCCCAGTCTCTGCAAGTGTCAGTAAAGGTCCTCAACATCTGTTTGAGGGTGCCATTAAATCGCTCGCAGAGACCATTAGTCTGAGGGTGGTAAGGTGAGCTAAGCAGCGGTTTGATGCCGCACACCTTCCACAGTTGCTGAGTGAGCACAGTGGTAAACTGAGTTCCCTGGTTGGAGAGGATCTCCTGAGGGAACCCGACCCTAGTAAAAACCTTAACCAGGGCATCAGCTACTCTCTCTGCCTCTATATTAGACAGCGCTACTGCCTCTGGATAACGGGTGGCATAGTCCACCACGGTGAGAATATACTTCTTACCGGATGGACTAGCCCTTGTCAGTGGACTCAAAATGTAAACAGCTATGCGGGGAAAGGGTTCCCCAATGATAGGCATAGATATAAGCCTAGCCCTTGGGTGATCCCCCCGCTGGTCAATATGAGGACAAAGGGTAAAGATACAATAGTGCCTCCCTGCAAAATAAACACTCATCAGGTCAATACTATGGCCATTTCCCCTTTGTGACCCATGCACAAGCCTTCTATGATTAAAACATGCTCTGGGTCCAAGCCTCCTTTTCTGGGAAAAATGTTATTGCCTTGTATCCCCTCAGTGTAACCTGCTAGATTATTTTAAAAAGGGGTCCACATAGTAATCCCCTGCATTTCTTTGTATAGAATGTTTAGGGGTTTCATTTGGGTATGGCTTGGGGAATGCCTCCCCTTTTACAGCCCTATGTTGAATTTTACAAGGCAGTTTAGAATTTCTCTGCCCCATCCTAATCTAAGGAGGGTATTTTGACACTAAATCCTTATAAATAGATGTCTATAACAATAATAATTGTAATACAACTACCGTAATTAAGAAGCAATAGCACGCAGAATGGATAATCTGGAACAAGCAAATATCAATAATACAGCCATAAAGCAAAATAAATCAGCGTTAGGCCGCTGTAAGTGTAAGAATATATTCATAAATTAGCAACAATATGGGTTTATATTCACTCAGTGGGAAATGGCATCTTTAACTATTTTGTGTGCTGTTTGGTGTATCACTCTGTCCAGATAACAGTACTTATGGATGTGTTTTTTTTGTTTGTTTTTTTTCTAATCTAAGGCGAAGTCCTGGTCTTATAAAAAATTGTACCAGGCTCATTTAAAATGTAACCACTCGTTCAGATTACAAATTCTTTCACAGCAAACGTATATTCTTAGTCCCAAAGTAAAAATGATTGGGCTCATGGAGTTGATTAATAACAAACATACAAATCATACATTCTTATAACATTTGCATCAGACCCCATATGCACTGCAAGTTATAAATCTTAAAGGACCACTATAGGCACCCAGACCACTTCAGCTTAATGAAGTGGTCTGGGTGCCAGGTCCAGCTAGGGATAACCCTTTTTTAAATAAACATAGCAGTTTCAGTGAAGCTGCTATGTTTATGTTAGGGTTAATCCAGCCTCCAGTGGCTGTCTCTTGACAGCAGCTAGAGGCGCTTGCGTGCTTCTCACTGTGATTTTCACAGTGAGAAGACGCCACCGTCCATAGGAAAGCATTGTAAATGCTTTCCTATGGACTGGCTAAATGCGCGCGCAGCTCCTGCCGCGCATGCGCATTCACCTGAAGAGAAGGAGAAGAGGGAGGAGAGGAGGAGGAGAGCTTCCCGCCCAGCGCTGGAGAAAGAGGTAAGTTTAACCCCTTCCTCCCCCCAGAGCCCGGCGGGAGGGAGACCCTGAGGGCGGGGGCAACCTCAGGGCACTATAGTGCCAGGAAAACGAGTATGTTTTCCTGGCACTATAGTGGTCCTTTAAGCACGAAAAATAATAATAAGAGACCATGTGTCACATCCTATTCCGTTCTGTTCAGATGTCAGACCTTGGCTTCTGGTATTCAGTACTCTTTTTACAAATTTTGTTTAGTTTTTCTTGTTTTTTTTTTGTTTTCTATTCTGTTTGGCTTTCTCTATGCTGGGTTTTCTGGGTTCATTCCTTAATTCCGTTCCTGGAATTCCCAGTCTCCTGGATCCCTTCAAATGTTTGTTTTTTGTTGCCACACCCATTCCTTTGCCATTAATCCTTTTTTGTTTCAGTCTGTTCCTGCAAGCAGTGGTCTCATTTCCTCTGCTCCTTTCTTTGCAGGTAAGTACTGTTTGTATTTTATTGTTGTTTATTTAGTCATCCATATCTAGGCAGTTAGGATCCACTGTAATTTGAGTACTTTGGCTTAATGGTGGGCTGTATACATCTTGGCCATTTATGTATGTCTAGATCTCCAATGTTTATTACATATATAGTACTTAGCTTTGTCTCCTCTTGTTTTACCTTGTATCTCTTGTCTCATTTTATTTATCTTGTATTCCCAGTTCATGTACAGTCCTGTCCTGTCCATGTCCTGTCCATGTTTCCTTCATGTATTGTGTACATGTTCTTGGTTCTGTTTTCTGTCCTGCTCCGTTTCTGGGTTCTTCTAGTCTTGTCTTATCTTGTTTGGTGCCTATTCTAGTCTTACCTTGTTTTAAGTACTGGATAAATATCTGTTTAATATCAGCTCCTGGCATCTGCTAAGCTGCATCAGTGCCTTGGTATGTGGCCGCACAAACCCTGGTGCTCAACACCAGGTGGCGTGTGGTTACCCTGCTCCAGACCCAGATTGTCCATTTCCACGCTGAGACTCCTATCATCCGCATCAGGCACACAGGGGTCCCGGTCTTCAGACAGCCACCCATGACACCATGGAAAGCAGGATGAATATACACGTTTATCATAGGAGATCCCTTCCCCACTGAATCCAATAAGCTAGCTAAAAATCCCTTCTAGCTAGCTAAACAGACAATAAATCCATATATACACTCCCTGAGAGTCTTCCTGATTAATTGACCTAATAACAGATATCACCCCCTAGGGTGACTCTGAATCACTAGATGTCGAGATGGGCCGCCTATCCCGTTCCCACTTCTCAACAACCAGATCTCAAGAACTCTATGTCTATATTGAATCTAGTACAGAGGCAAATGGCCTTTCCCTTTATCAACCTCAGAGGCAAACAGACGATCCCGTTATCAACCCCTCACTATCTGTCCAACAGACTTTCAGCCTAAGACAGGTTCAAGAAAGAAAACTGTGAAGCCCCCATGAGCAGAAAAAGAAAGACAGAAGAAGTCAATAACTTTGTACTCACCCCACTTGTTAGGCTGCAACTTTTACAAGGTCTCAAACCCTTACGCTGCCAATCGACTTATGCAGTTAACATTAATGTACACCAGTCATTATGAAGTTCAAGAAAAATAGTGGCTTTTTAAATGCAGGTACAGCATATATATAAAACACAGTTTTTATAGGGGTGTATCCAACAGAAGACAAAATCAGCCAATCATAGACTTTCAGTGCAAAAAGTATAATTTTCTCATAGAATATTATGTATTAGAAATGTACTGCACATGTCTAGCATGTTGTCAGTATATTTATACTGGCAGACATTTGTGTTAAGACAAAAATTAAAAGTGTATACTGTCACCATCAGAACAGAAGTGACTCCATTTATAACAGAATACAGAAACAGACACATTTTTACTTCTCTCTGTAACTCTATTCATTCAAGCCTGAAGCTAAGGAATGCAACTTACATAAACATTAGAGATAAAACCTGAGATAAGACATGATGTCTACAGCAAAAGGGGGTTGAAGGCTACAACCCAGAGTCCAATATATAAACAGAAGAAATCCAGGATGCACACTCAGGTCTTTGTAAAGTCCGATGTGATTTAATTAATAATTAGGCATACAGAAAAAAACAAAATCGACGTTTCGACCCCAACGGGTCTTTTTCAAGATTCTCAAACCCTTACACTGGGGTCAAAATGTCGATTTTGTTTGCTGTATGCCCAATTATTAATTAAATTACATTGGACTTTACAAAGACCTGAGTGTGCATCCTGGATTTCTTCTGTTTATATATTGGACGCATTTGGATTGCACCCAGGCAGTTGAACTTTAAATCCTGGTAAGGAGAGTGCCAAGCTATCATCCTATTATATATACACACTAGTGATGTCCCGAACGGTTCGCCGAACGGTTCGCCACGGACTCATCATTGAGTAAACTTTGACCCTGTACCTCACAGTCAGCAGACACATTCCAGCCAATCAGCAGCAGACCCTCCCTCCCAGACCCTCCCACCTCCTGAGACACTAGGGACACTGGCTGGGAGACATGGGGACACTGGGAGACATGGAGACACCGTGTCCCCATGTGTCTTAGCGTCCCCATGTCTCACAATGTCCCCTAGTGTCTGTGTCCCCATGTTTCCCAGTGTCCCCAAGTCTCTCAGTGTCCCCACATCTCCCAGTGTCCCCTAGTGTCTCAGTGTCCCCATGTCTCCCTGCTGCCTTTCCCCCCATCCCTCACACATCTGAGCTGTAGTCTGTCTCTGCAGGCTGGAAGCTGCTGTCTGGACTCTCTGTGCTGTGTAGCTGCTCCCCCACGGATCAGTGAGTAGAGAGAGGCAGGGAGATCCCTGCCTCTCTCCCCTTCTGGCCAGTGCTGGTATTGCAGAGTAATCTCCATTTATACTGAGAAAAATATTTGCATTTGTATTGCCGGTATTACTGCAATACTGTCATGGCCAGGCAGCCTTAAATACTGGCTGTGCCTTAAAATGCCAGTCAGTTGGCAAACCTAAAAGAAGCGTGTAAAAATAAAAATAAAAAAAAAGTAAAAAAATAAAAAAAGTTTTTTTTTATTTTTAAAACGGGCCTATTCCAAGGGCCTGGGCCTGGAGCTGCAGCTCCATCAGCTCCTAAATTAATCCGGCCCAGTGTATAGATTGTGTATAGGAAGGCGTACCCCTCCCCCGTTTCCTGTCCCATTGTTCTCCAGCAGGGCGTTGTCCCAGGCACACTGCCAGACTAGTTGGAACTGGTTTGGGCTGGAAAGTCATGCTTCAGTGGGCCTAAAGGGAACTCCACCTAACTTTTTAACACCCATAACTCCTAAACGCCTGGTCCGATCTGGGTGATTTTTGAATATGTTATTCACCCAGATGAGGGCTATCAGGGAATACAACATTTAGGGGTGTACCCTATGTATTTGGGGTACATCTAGAACTTGGGGAAAAATATGTACATTTTAATTCTGTTAACAGATAAGCTGATGGGAGGAGATGTGTGGGTTGTACCTTGTACATTATTGGTTAATGTACTAATTATTGTGGGTGGCTCCCTTGCGCGGGAGCATTGCATAAAAGCAAGGGTTGTGTGATTAAAAGTTAGTTCAGTTCTGATCCTGATACTGTGTGTCGTCCAGTTATTGGGAAAGGTGATGGGATATTATTGGATGGTATTGCTGGTTGTGCTTGCTTCGCTGTTGGATTATTCTATTACTGTGGATGTTTCTCCTGGGGTCACTACTTGTTCCTGAGCCACACCTGGACTACCAGCGGAAATAGTCTGTGAGAGACCAGCGTTCTGTTACACATGTGTTTGCTGAAAACGTGTCCATGTATACAAACACTGTAAGTCTGCTAAAAATATGACCCTTAATCCTAGCACTCTATTTATCTGCTGAAAATGTATCCCTCGATTCCTACACTGCACGTCCCCCAACACCAATAATGTGTGTGCCACTGGGCTTAGCTCAGTGAAGAGAGTGTCCAGCTCTAACTGAGATAAAATGGAGATGGGGAGCAGGACAGGTATGAAGTCAAGCAAGTAAATGAAGTAAAACGGTTTGCCTTCAAACATGACAGGCAGTGGCGTACATACAACCCATGGGGCCGTGGTGCGAAACTGATCCATGGGCCCCCCTCCCTCCATCTCCCCCCCCTCTCTCCTTCTTCCCACCCTCTAACTCAACCCCCCGACAGATACATACACACACACACACACATACATACATACAGAGACACACACACACAGACACAGACATATACATTCAGACACATACATACACACAACGCATACATACAAATAGACAGACAGGCACAAAGACACACACATAACACACATACAGACAGACACACACACACACAAGACACACATACATACAAACAGACATGCACACATACATACAGATACATACAGACAGACAGACACACACACACACACACACACAAAGACATACATACAATGACACATACAAACAGACAGGCACACATACATACAAACAGATAGACACAGACACATACATACAAACAAACACACACACACACACACAATATTTAAGTCACCCTCCTGTTTTCTACCTTTTAGGTGCAGGAGGGTGACTTTCCCTAGGGTCCAGTGGTGGCTCAGGTTGATGGGAGTCAGAGTTCCCACTCTGACTTCCTCTGCTTCCTCACGCGCGGGCTCTCAGTGATAGCTGGGAGGAGTGACTGGGGAGTCACTTCCTCCCAGCATGTGATCTCATCACAGGGGGCCCAGTCGCACTGTTAAAGCGCAGCTGCGCTGATCGAGCCCCCTGAAAATCCACGCGGGTCGAGGCTGCAAATGATGATGGCGGGCACCCAGTCGCAAGGGTCTGCAGGGTGGCTGGGCCACAAGGAGTGACTTGCCCGGTCGCAGCTGCAACCCTTGCAACCGCTAAATGTACGCCAGTGATGACAGGGGAAGCTGAGGAACCGAGACACTCCTGGCACATTTACCATGACAGTGTGCTGTAGTGTGGGCTGAAAAAAACGGTGTATTTGTAAAGTTGAAAAAAGGGAAAAGGAAAATAAAATGTAGAAATCCACTCCTCAAATATCCTGCAACTGGCTTCCTCCATCTTAGCTTATATTCTATCTCATTTTCAATCAGGCAGCATGCTGGATTACCAGTTTGGCGCTAATTGTTCGCTGTTCCAGTGAAGACCTCACTAAAGAATCCTAGTTGGGCATTATCCCACTCACGTCTTATCCATTGAGCGTTTTTCCTTCTCAATTAAACATGAGTAAAAATGTCTTATTTATTACTCCTGGTTCAATTTACACATAGATCATTTATCCTCCTGTTTTCTATTATTTCTGGGTTATTATGGTCCCCACACCACTGTGTTATCTGTGGACTACATCATCGCATGTATCTTATAAGTGGGGATTATTATAGCATTGTACGCCATTCAAACTAGAGCTGGTTTTAGCTCTACAAAATGTGAGTAGGACTACATATGATCTACGAATTATTAGAACAATATATTGTTGTGATATACTACACTGTTGGGTTTTCCTAATTTTTTTTGTATATTGATATGGATCCCAAGCATTTCGTGATCTGGCATATCCATAGAGAAGAGACTACAAGATTTGGCTGTTCCCATTGCAAGATTGCACATTTATTTGGACATTTTATTGAGTATTGTTGGCCTTTTTTTACAATCGTTTTTTATTCTTTTGTATCCATCTGCCATTGGTAATTTCTTTTATTATAATTTTATTGGCGCAACCTTCCTCTCATTTTGCTATATTATTCTAAAATAATAAACGGGCTTCATGAATGTTTTTTAATTTTGCAAGTAGTCACTATATTTACAAAGCAAATGGCAAAAAAAAACACTTCTTCACTAGCAGCAGATTCTGCCCACGTCATCTACAATTTGATGTATTTGTTGTTGGTGATTTTAATATTGACCCATAGTTCTCAGCATCATTCTTTCAACGCCAGTCATTTGGTAACCATTCTTATTAGCTAAAATAAATACAAAGGTTTAAATTATTATAAGATAGAGTTCATTTCATTTGGAATTTTCCTAGTAGGTAATTATCTTTTTTATAATTATGATTGCAAAACGAATAGGGTGAAATATAAAACATCATGCAAACTTGAAATTCATTAGTATAGGGTTATTCATTAAAGTTGAAATATTCCTAATCAGCTATGTTTTCAGTTTGGCTATTTTCGTCTAAAATGTGAATTCCACTTTGAATTCATTTTAAATTTCCAACAATTCACACTTTAGTGAATTACCCTGTAATAGAGGTTACATCTTAAGGGAACCACCACTTTCCAGAATTTTTAGTATTATGTTTACTGATTCCCTATATTTACCAAATATGTGTTTGTGATGTCTTGAAAATAAAATTTCATGTAGAAATCCACACCACTGTATTTATCTATATACTGAACTGAGTGCGTTCACTGTCAATAATTGTTCTAAGCTCTGTGCGTAATCAATTTAAGGCTACAATAATCTCTTACCGTATGCATAACTTGAGAATCCCCACCTAATAGAGAGAAGGAAAATAATATTGTAAATATGGGTTGTGAAATACATTGCCTCATACATCAAGTGCCATTAGACAAATCATCTGTGATTTATTATGGACATATAACCATTCTTATAGTAATATATCAGAGAATATTCAATGTCCAAAATATGAATTTTTATGCATATAATTAATTGCTGCAAGAATATGCATTTACTACAATTTGAACAAATATTTGCTAAGCTGCAGAACTTTCCTCTGTAGTTAATGAAGATCCATCCCTTATTGCCCAGCACTTACTTACTGCAAGGTATTGTTCATTGAAAGGATTCTCATAGATCAGCTTTAAGGACAGATCTCTTGGGCAAAAGTGCTCATACCGAAGGGTGACTGTATTGATATCCATATTCAAAAATAAATAAATCATACTTTGGAGATATATGAGTTTAAGTGCTACTTATGTGTCCATTAAAATAGTGACCCACTATGAAAAACTGTGTACTAAAGTTCTTATCAGTGCCAGCCAAACACTGGATAAGGTTGATGGAAGTTATATTCCACATAAGCTGTTTAGCAAGTAGTTGCCTCACTGTCCCATTGTTTCAGATGTATATTTTGTCTCCAGCCGGTCTTAGCCAGAATCTGTCACAGCACCTACCCGATCGACCCACAAGTTATGGCCTCTCTACGCATACTGCGCACTGTGATCAGGAGGCCTTGACTCCTGGAGTTGGTGTGGAAAGTATAGCTGCACGTTTCTGATAGATGCAGAAATCTGGGCTCTCTGAGCACTACAGTAAAGTTGATCTGTGCAGCGTCACCCCAAAGATAAGAGAAAGAAACATTGCATCATTTCCTGCTATAGTAGCTCCACGTCATACCTGCAACCTCATTACATCAACTTTTAGGGTCGCAGGAGTATTTAAACAAAATTTTAGCCCCATAATCATTGCCTGGTCGTGGTTTCCATATTGGTTTCCTGGCATTGATCTTGGCACATCTAGTGATCTGTGTATTTTTGTATTTCTGACCTTGGCTATTTTATTCGATTTTCATTACTTATGTTACTCTGACCCTGGCTTGTTACTGTTTATAATTATTCTCTCAATCATGCGTTCATCCAGGCTATTTTAAGGACCGGTGTTGTACTTTATCCTTTCTATAGATCCTGATCCAAGTTCTGCGTGTTCATAGCTTAATATGAAATAGTATTTGAGATAGAGAAATATCAGGGAACAACTGATATTGTAAAATCAGTTATTTTCGGGTTTATTATTATTTTAGGTATGATAAGTTGGTAATAGTGAGTTAAAATATGGAATGTATTAGACAGCAATATACATATTTAAGTGTATTTACCAGTCCCAGCATCCATTGGGATTAGAAAAGTTGGATTTTGCTTGTGGATACAGGATAATTAAATTATTCAAATCTGCAACCTGATTGTAACCAGCATTTCTGGCATAACGGTCACCAAGCTTCTCTCTGTATGTAAAAGAAATAAACAGTACATTACAAGTAAAAAAAGGCTTAGTTATGTACACCATATAATTTTTGTTTTTTATCATTTATTAAAAGGACATGTATCACTTTGAGACATCTATCCCATTCAAAATATTTAACTTTGAGTGAGAAAGTTGCCTTACTCTGAAGACTGAAATAAAGGGTAAAAAATAATTTTCTTTGTATATTTACCTGCTTTTTCTTTCTTATGCTTTCCACACTCACTCCAGGAGGGACACTGATCTAACCAATCAGTGTCCTATTCCTAGGAATGCTGGAAAAGTGCATTAGGTATGTCTGTCACACATGTGCAGTTGGAAGATTCCTTTACCTTACAACATTCTGACAGGAGGAGAAGAGAGTGAGTCTGATCAAGGTGATAATGCAGAACATGTTCTAGTATTAGGTTTCTCTCTCCCTGCTGTGTTAGTCAGTGCAGGGGCTCAGTATGACGAGCCTGCTACATAATGATATCCTGTATCTGTCATTAGTGGACTGGTCTGGACTGAAATAGTGGGTGGGTAAGGAGGGGGTCTAAAGAAACGCCAGAAGCTAACAGGTGTTCCCACCAATGCAATCTGACCAAGTTTATATTACAGTTACAAGAAAAAGTATGTGAACCCTTTGGAATGATATGGATTTCTGCACAAATTGGTCATAAAATGTGATCTGATCATCATCTAAGTCACAACAATAGACAATCACAGTCTGCTTAAACTAATAACACACAAATAATGAAATGTTGCCATGTTTTTATTAAACACACCATGTAAACATTCATAGTGCAGGTGGAAAAAGTATGTGAACCCTTGGATTTAATAACTGGTTGTACCTCCTTTGGCAGCAATAACTTCAACCAAACGTTTCCTGTAGTTGCAGATCAGACGTGCACAACGGTCAGGAGTAATTCTTGACCATTCCTCTTTACAGAACTGTTTCAGTTCAGCAATATTCTTGGGATGTCTGGTATGAATCTCTTTCTTGAGGTCATGCCACAGCATCTCAATCGGGTTGAGGTCAGGACTCTGACTGGGCCACTTCAGAAGGCGTATTTTCTTCTGTTTAAGCCATTCTGTTGTTGAGTTACTTCTATGCTTTAGGTCATTGTCCTGTTGCAACACCCATCTTCTGTTGAACTTCAGCTGGTAGACAGATGGCCTTAAGTTATCCTGCAAAATATCTTGATAAACTTGGGAATTCATTTTTCCTTCGATGATAGCAATCCGTCCAGGACCTGACGCAGCAAAGCAGTGCCAAACCATGATGCCCCACCACCATACTTCACAGTTGGGATGAGGTTTTGATGTTGATGTGCTGTGCCTTTTTTCGCCACACATAGTGTTGTGTGTTTCTTCCAAACAACTCAACTTTGGTTTCATCTGTCCACGGAATATTTTGCCAGTACTGCTGTGGAACATCCAGGTGCAAACTGTAAACGTGCAGCAATGTTTTGTTTGGACAGCAGTGGCTTCCTCTGTGGTATCCTCCCATGAAATCCATTCTTGTTTAGTGTTTTACGTATTGTAGATTCGCTAACAGGGATGTTAGCATTTGTCAGTGACTTTTGGAAGTCTTTAGCTGACACTCTAGGATTCTTCTTCACCTCACTAAGCAGTCTGTGCTGTGCTCTTGCAGTCATCTTTACAGGACAGCCACTCATAGGGAGAGTAGCAGCAGTGCTGAACTTTCTCCATTTATAGACAATTTGTCTTACCGTGGACTGGTGAACAGCAAGGCTTTTGGAGATACTTTTATAACCCTTTCCAGCTTTATGAAAGTCAACAATTCTTAATCGTAGGTCTTCTGAGAGCTCTTTTGTGCGAGGCATCATTCACATCAGGCAATGCTTCTTGTGAAAAGCAAACCCAGAACTGGTGTGTGTTTTTTATAGGGCAGGGCAGCTGTAACCAACACCTCCAATCTCATCTCATTGATTGGACTCCAGTTGGCTGACATCTCACTCCAATTAGCTCTTGGAGATGTCATTAGTCTAGGGGTTCACATACTTTTTCCACCTGCACTGTGAATGTTTACATGGTGTGTTCAATAAAAACATGGCAACATTTCATTCTTTGTGTGTTATTAGTTTAAGCAGACTGTGATTGTCTATTGTTGTGACTTAGATGATGATCAGATCACATTTTATGACCAATTTGTGCAGAAATCCATATCATTCCAAAGGGTTCACATACTTTTTCTTGCAACTGTAAGTTTATAAATGTTTTTCTTGCATTATTTTGGTTTGTATATATGTTTAAAAGTGTTTCGTTGCTGGTTTTAAAAAAAAAAAAAGTCAAGTGACCCATGTTCCTTTGATATAGAGCATTTGTTACGTTGGTTAAATATAAACTTTTTTTCTCCCTTTTTTTCTGCCCTGGTTTTTTTTATCACCAGGGCACTATAGTGTTAAGAATACACATTTGTGTCTCTAATGCTATAGTCTTCCTTTAATAGTAAAAGTCTCAATCACAGATAAAAACAAATGGTATCATAGGTTTTGTGAGTCCTGCTTGCAATCTTACAATTTAAAGGGGAATGTGTTCTCTTTAAGGTACAATGCACTATAATTTCGATATCCGATTTACATCTACAACAGGTATCCCTTATCTCTGGTATTCTGCCATGTAATTACAATGAAGCACAATGCATTATTATTGTTATCTGTAAAAACTATTTTTTTTTAACTAAAATTAAGTTCAAAGAGGGATTTCATGGATCTTTCTCAGTGAGCTTTATTTGAGAATGTTCCTAACTTAATTTCCTACTTATCCATGAAAAGGCCAAGATGACATGTGATAACAAGTACTTGAAACAATACAGATATACATTTAAAGAAGGATATTTAACTCCAACCAATAGCTCAAAAGCAGTGAATATTTTCTGGGAAATTACAGCAAACATAGGCGTGCGCACGGGGTGTGCCGGGTGTGCCTGGGCACACCCTAATCCCCGTGGCACGCCTATGGTTTGAGTCCTATGGTTTGAGTCTTTTTTTGAGCAGGAACGCTGTTCCTGCAGACCTCTCAGCGCCCCCTCTTTCACCTCTTGCCCCTGTCATGGGGAGGGGGGGCAAGAGGTGATTGATCCCCCCCCTTTCTGCAGCTCAGCCGCGGCGAGGGAGCTCTCTGCTGTCTGCGCTCTGCTTCCTCTCACCGCGCGCTGATGCCGGGAGCCGGAATATGACGTCATATTCCGGCTCCCAGCTCCAGCAGACAGCCCGCGCGGCGAGAGGAAGCAGGGCACAGACAGCAGAGAGCTCCCTTGCCGCGGCTGAGCTGCAGAAAGGCGCCCACCCCACTGGACCCCAGGGAAAAGTCCATGCCAGCACTTCAGGTAGGAGGCTGGGTGGACATTTTTTTAAATTTAAAATATAATAATTTGTTCTTGTGTGTGTCTGTGTCTGTTTGTGTGTGTGTCTGAGTGTGTGAGTGTGTGTGTCTGTGAATCTGTGTGTCTGTGAATGTGTGTGTGTGTCTGTGAGTGTATGTATGTATATGTGTGTGTGAGTGTGTCAGTGAGTATGTGTGTGTGTGTGTGTGCCTGTGTGTCTGTGAGTGTATGTATGTGTGTGTGTCTGAATGTGTCTGTGAGTGTGTGTGTGTACGCATATATATATACACACACACACACACACGCGCGCGCAGAGCCGGCGCTATCTGAGTGCCGGCTCTGCTCTTAGCCTCCATGGGCCGGCGGGGAGACCAAAGATCTACCTCACCGGCCCACAGCAGCATGGAGGGAGGCAGGAGAGGACCCAGGAAGCTCTAGACAGAAGCTCCGCCAGGTTCCTCTCGCGATATCTGAGCGTTACTGCGTTACACACACATACATACACCTGCAGGCTAGAGTTCACTCTCCACTGGACCACCAGGGATGGCACATGGCAGCAAGGATTTACTAATCTGCCAAATCCCTCCAAACATACAGCACACACACATACAGCATCTACACACATACAGCTCACACACACACAGTACACTAACCGCACCCTCACAAACACACACAGCACCTTTAAAAAAAACACAACACCCTCACACACAGCACACTAACAGCACCCTCACAAACACACACACACACACACAAACAGCACCCTCACAAATACACGACACTCACACAAACAGCACCCTCACAGGACAAACATACACACACAAACACCCTCACACACAAACAGCACAGTCACAAACACACACACACACAGAAACACCCTCACATCACACTAACATCACCCTCACACACACATCACACTAACAGCACACACACACACGCGGCGTGTGTTTGTGCTTTAGGGTGCACACCCTAATGCAATAGGCTGTGCACGCCTCTGACAGCAAATAATCTGAGACTTGATGGTAGGTGAAGTGTTCCATCAGAAAAGGAGGCCTGCCCTGTATGAGACCATTGTGTTGAGACCAGTTAAAAAAAGAATGTCATATGGAAAAGTTATAACTGGTAGAAGAATGAGAAGTGGTTCATCACAGAGAAATAGCGGGGTAATACACTTGTGAGAATAGTGGTTAGGGTAATGTATGATCCTCTCGATCCCGAAGTCTACAAATATCATTAGATAGTCGTTAGTTTAAATAAAACACCTCAGTCCTTTTCTAAATGATCTTTTCAGTTAAAAAACAAACTTATTAGAAAAGTGTAAAATCACCCAAAACTAAAATAACTTCATCATGACCATGTCTCCAATCTCACCTTTTGAAATAAAAAATATCCCTAATAATATTATTAATGAACATTATTTTCGCTGCAAATTACAATTATGAAGTATATGTACTATGCACTATGTAAATTTCCCCATCCTGTTTTACAACTTTCAGAACAAAATATGCAGATAACATTACACTTTAAAGGTGTGGTATTGCTTACTCTACAAAATATTATACTTTTTATTTTTTTTTATTTTTTTTAATTCTTTATTTTTGCAGGAAGCCATAAAAACATCATGTTTACATTATGTGCAATAAAGGTTGTCAACAGAGGTTACAGTTTGCAGTAAAAACATCAGCACATGCTTATATTTTCCAATTTTTTGTAAAATACTGACAAAAATTCCTCATAACTGGACATTCGGTTAGGCTGATTATTGACTGGAGGTAGCCTGTCGTTAACGTGTGCGCCCTCGGTGTGGACTGGTACAGCTATGCCTGGGATTCACGTCACTTAGGGTGCGTGAGTGTTGGATAGTATACTCCTTCTCACTGTTGGGTAAGAACCTAGGCCTCTCCTGGTAATTAGCCCCTAATAAATCTTATCGGCCAGGTTGGCTGGTACACGTGCTATGCGGTCGCTTGTATGCTTGAGACTGGCATCGCATGTGAAAATAGGATGAGTGGTGGTGGGGGGGGGGAAGCTTAGCTGGTCATAGTGGCTGGCTTGTTGCCTACGGAGCCAGGTGTAAGGGACATAGGTATATTCATACTTTTATGCCTTCCAGTGTTAGATGAACCTTTCTAAGCAAAACAAGGTACAATAATAAACATAAAACCATAAGTAACAATATAAACAGAATATGTCATGTTTCAGGCAGGAGAATCGGGCGTGCTCATTCTTGTTCCCCCAGGCACAAATGGGGTGATGTTTGCGATAGTCCATGTAGGGCTGGTGACCGCCGGGGCTGCCTCGGCTGGTAGGCCCAGGGCTCGAAGGAAAGCTGGTGCTTCTGATTTATGTGTGAGGATGTGCGTCTTGCCTTCTCTCTCCACCAATAGCCGGTGTTGCCCCCACTTGTACGTAATGGATTTCTCACAAAGCTGCTGAGTAAGCTGTCCAATAGATCTCCTCCATGCCAACGTGTGCCTAGATATGTCTCTGTAAAAAGTCAGCTGTGCTCCCTCAAAGGGGACCGTGGGGGAGGCCCTGGTGGCTCCCATGAGAGCCCCCCGGTCAGAGTCCCGATTGAATTTGACAAGCACGTCTCTCGGGGCCCCCTGAGGTGCTTTGGTGGCTTTTGGGAGTCGAAAACATGAGTCCACTCCCATCTGTTTCACTTGTTTGGGCAGCAGTAGTGTGGCCAACAGCCGTCTGCAATAATGGGGTAAGTCGGGACCGGTGACCGACTCAGGGACCCCTCGGATCCTCACATTCCTTGCCTTTGCCCTGTCTTCCATCTGGGCTAGCTGTGTAGTCAGGGCACTACATTGTTTCTGTAGAGACCCCAGGGTTGCGTCTGTGGCAGATTGTGCAACCCCCGCTCCTCTGAGGCTCTCCTCCACGGTCACCATCCGGCTTGTGAGCATCGAGACTTCCTCCCTGACCAGCGCCATGTCGGCCTGAAACATTGCCTGTATATCTTTTGTTAGTGCCTTTATATCGGCTTTAGTGGCGGGGGCCGAGTCCCCCATCTCCAAGGGTGTCTTCGGCTTGGTGTGTGCCTTCTGTGGAGGTAAGTAGACTGCTGTCTGGCTCTCTTCGTCCGATGACGGGGAGGTGTAGGCCTCAGCCATCGCCATCTTGTCGAGGTCGGACCGCGGCCGCGTGGCCGAGCATAGAAAAGCTGCAATGTCTCCGGATCTAGGGCCGGGATCGGTTTTGTGCTTCTTAGTCTTCTTGCCCATAACGTGAGGCACTTAGTGAGCGTTGGGTGGCTTGTGAGATGTGCCGTTTATCGCCAAAATTCGGCTTTAATGTAAGTTCCTTGACGGAGCTACTGTGATTTGCGTCCTTCTCGCTCGGGTGCTGGCTCCGCCCTCCCAAAATATTATACTTTATACTTAATGCAGAATTATGAAAACCATATCTTATATTTTTGAATTTCCAAAGGCTTAGCATAAAATACATTTTAAATCTTTTGCATTCTTTTGTGAGTACATTAATAATATATTCAGAATGACTAAATTTAGTAACTACTAAATATCATATATTTAGAATCATTATTGAATTTTTTTTAAGTAAAATGCATTTAATAAAACAGTAGAATAATATTTAATGGGAGAATGACAATTGAGTAATCCATCAATAATCAGTATCCTATTATATAGTATCCTATTATAGTAGCTGCTGGGTAAATCCCCTTAGCCACAGGATCCTATCAGTGGGGGTAAAAATACCAGCTGGTTTTCCAGCTTTGGGGCCAAGACCTTATTTTTATGGGACAGTTTTAAAATTAATAAATGTCCATAACATTCAAAATATTTTAAAGATCTTACCTTCCCTGAAGGCAGCCATGGAAAGCAATGTGTAGTCTGCATCCTAAAAAAATATAAACTTTAGACTAAAACAGCTTTATGTCAGCATATTACCTAAAAACTTTAAGACACTAACATATTCAAATATGTATAGTAACATCATTTTGGTAGGATCACATGTACTAAAACATAGAACAGAGACAATAACTGAGTTTGTAATTGCTAATTAGTAATTGTTTCTGCATTTATTTTGGGGAAATAATAACTAGCAGGGTTTCTTAATTAGTAAACTGCGAACTGTCAGAAATTCACTATGGAACTTTAAATTTGTTGTCAAAATAGCTGGGCTTCAAACGTAGTTGACTTGGAGAATTGTTTACAGCTTGGTAGTTCAGCATACAATTTGAAATTCCATGGTGAATTCCCAATTCACAGTTTAGTGACTATTCTGAGAGCTTCCAAAATTTTATTAAGTAGAAAAAGATCGGCATACAGTAATAATTAATAAAATATCTTCAAGTGGGCAACTATGGCAAGAAGGGGTGGGGACACATTTCCTAAAAATGTTTTAATACAATTAAGTTTGTACTTACTTGTGCCACTCTGGCAGGAGGAAGGAATGTACACATATCCAGCTGTATCCATCCCATAAGTCCCTGCAGAAGCCAATTTAAAATATTCCGACTGATCGTACAGGATCAACTGTAGACATGAAATAAGTATGTTAGTTTTGTATAAGAACATTGTCAAGCAATGCTCAGATCAGCTTTTGATGAACTCTTAAAGGAACACTATAGTCACCTAAATTACTTTAGCTAAATAAAGCAGTTTTAGTGTATAGATCATTCCCCTGCAATTTCACTGCTCAATTCACTGTCATTTAGGAGTTAAATCACTTTGTTTCTGTTTATGCAGCCCTAGCCACACCTCCCCTGGCTATGATTGACAGAGCCTGCATGAAAAAAAAACTGGTTTCACTTTCAAACAGATGTAATTTACCTTAAATAATTGTATCTCAATCTTTAAATTGAACTTTAATCACATACAGGAGGCTCTTGCCATAGCAGGGGATAAGAAAATCTTAATTAAACAGAACTTGCAATAAAGAAAGCCTAAATAGGGCTCTCTTTACAGGAAGTGTTTAGGAAAGGCTGTGCAAGTCACAGGCAGGGAGGTGTGACAAGGGTTCATAAACAAAGGGATTTAACTCCTAAATGGCAGAGGATTGAGCAGTGAGGCTGCAGGGGCATGTTCTATACACCAAAACTGCTTCATTAAGCTAAAGTTGTTCAGGTGACTATAGTGTCCAAACTCTTGGTGAGACCCTAAAAGTTCTGCAATATGCTGTGAAACCTCAGTAAATGACACAGCACTGGAATGGTTTTAGTTACGATAATAGTATCTTTTTAGAACAGGTATTGCATTTTGCTAATGGGTGCATGAAAAATTCCACTTCCTGGTCAGAAAATCACACAGGTCCTGTCAGTTTTCCCAAAGAGAAAAATCCAGAGAAAGCAAACACCCACAGAAAATGGTCATTAACAAAAAAGTTAATATTTATTGCTTATGAAACATAGAAAAAGGGGCTAGAACTAAAAACCTGAAAAAAAGTGATTGAGCGTCTAACGAAATTCATCCTGGGAATGTGAACGCATGCAATAAAAATCCTTCTCTAAATTATAAGTAATATGCTGTACGTTTAACACATTCTGTTACAGTATACATTGTGGGTTTCTTTACAAAAGACATAAATAATAAATAAACAGACCCCCACCTACACCTCTTCCTGTTATTATCATAGGTTTCCATACCTGTCCAGTTAGTCCAGCAGAACTACTTGGCTTCTAAAAATAATAAAATAACAATAGTATAAGACATGTATTTTATTGATTTTCATTTCTCTGTATAATGTATTGATTCTGTAATGTTATCCTTACTCTAAGTCCTCCATAGATCTGATTCAGAGCCTCATAAGCCCCATTGTAGCCACAATTGTTGATATATTCGCTATTGGTTGATCCACATGTACCTCCATAGCTATCAGTGGGCTGAAACACATAATAAAAGTTCAGCACATTAAAACAGTACTTAACTTAAGATGAAACACTCTCCGTTTCAATGTTGCTAGAGTAATTTAGATGTTTTTGAACGATGGCCAGTCAAAGCCTACTACTAAATGGATTGAACTGGAGTTAGACGAAAGTTGCTAATGAAGTGACCAAAGATGTGAAGAACGGTTTGCTCTTGGATATACTTTATAAAAGCACCAAAAAATGTATATATTGTTTCTCTTTGCTACGCGACTTAACCGCTTAAGGACACATGACGTGTGACATGTCATCATGATTCCCTTTTATTCCAGAAGTTTGGTCCTTAAGGGGTTAAACCATTTGCAGAGTAAAAGTTTTATTTTTATTACTTCAGCAAATTAGACATTTGGTAGACATTTAAGTAAAGCAATGTGTAATTAAAATGTTCTGGGCTCTTTCTTGTTAAGTGTGAAAGAGTATTTTTTTTTAAAAAAGCTGTGACTTAACTATTTAACTTGAGGAAATTCTACAAGGGTTTTTTATGTAGATTTCTTCTGAAGTTTCTGGATTAAGGGGAGGTCTGATCACCAATGTCCAGAGCTATTTTAAAATTTCTCTCTTTATTACAGTAATTTTCCCTGTTAACCTGCACTCACCATTCCATGCTCAACTGGGATATCATACACGGCCCGAATGTTTCCAGAGTTCACATAGGATAAGTAATATTCCTCCAGTTTTTTCACTACCCCTAGGGGAAGGATGGAAATGATAACATTATCTTCCTATTTAGTCACTTATATATTGACGATACGCTGCTCAAATGTTGTGTTTGTCTATCACCAGTGTCTGATTATATTTGTGAAAAGCTTCATGTAAATAATTTATTGTATTATTAAAAAGAACACTGCAACATTAGAAATAAATTCATAAGTTATTTGTGAAGTGTTCACTTGTTTATTTATATTTTGGTGTGCCCTCCCCAACCTTCGTTCCTGTAAAAATGAAAGAAAAAACATTACTTACATGTAATCCAGTGCATTTGTTAATCCCTAAAACATTTCTGAAAATAATTATTTATAAATATTTGTTACTTACCTGGAACTACAACTGTATCTCTACTGCCTGAAAAGATGAACACCTTAGAATTTGCAAGGTTTGATACAGGATCAATCAGGCCACTGTTGGCATAACTCTGGGTTTGTGACTTAAGAGAGTTAACATTGATGCTTGAAGGTAATTTCATGCATGCATTTGTTGCTGTCAACATGCTTCCAGATGCACAGTAATATGGTCCTGCAACAAAGTAGAACAAATTAAACCGTGTATATCATTTGGACATCGTAATCTTGTACTATTATTAGTAAGTAAGATTCAAACATGCTTAAAAGAACACCATAGGATCAGGAACACAAACGTGTATTCCAAACCCTATAATGTTAAAAACACTATTTAGGTGGCAGTCCTCCCTTAATAGGATAAAAATTTACCTTTATTCTAAGCTGTGTCAGTCTGCCGGCGCTGGTCGCACACCCAATCCGCTCCTTGGCTGAGATAATCAGAACTAATGATTTCAGCCAATCCAATGCTTCCCCATAGCATTTAAGAAAGCATTGAATTGGCTAATAATCAATGTTGCTGATCTCAGCCAAGGAGGAGATGGACAGAGCCAAATGCTGCGCTGGCCAATTAGCATCTCCTCATAGAAATGCGTTGAATCAATGCATCTCTACCGGGAAAGTTCAGCACGGAGACGATGAATGTCAGTGCTGCACTTTCTGCAGTATTGACCCAGTAAGCATCTCTAGTGGCAGTCTGAGTGACTGCCCCTGGAGGTTTCCCTTAGGAGATATGTTTAATTTTACACATTAAAATGCCTGCAGGGACTGACTGTACTCACCAGAACAACTACATTAAGCTGTAGTTGTTCTGGCTACTATAGTGCCTCTTTAAAGGAACACTCTAGGCATCATCAATCAATGAGTAAGCCAAGAGGACGCACTTATGGGTACTGTCTTCACAAACTGTTCATAAATGGTTTGGCTTATTAAGGTAAGGTGCCTCACCATCTATTGGAAGTGGAGCCATAACAGCGTAATTCAGATGAATTTTAAGTCTTGTACTATTTCTCAGAAATCACTGTATGTAACTTGAGTGTTACATATAGCGAAGGCATACAAAAAAAGGTGTCATGGTAAGCTTTTTAATATTCTGATATTTCTGTTTAGATGTGTCAGTAAAGTCAAAAGTCCTTTCATGTGCACAATAATAACTTTGCAAAGCTGCACTTTAGAAAAAGAACAAATTGCAGTACAAATACATAAACTTCCCAGAAGCATTTACTTTTTAAATGCTTCAAACAACAAAATAATTTGACATAAATTCAAGTGTAATACTCTGGCATAATATACTATAATCCACTTAGAATAAATAACAGTTACATGTGCATTTAATTATTAATACCTCCAGCAAACAAGGCAGCTCCAATAACTTTCTTGGATTGTGCAACATGGAATTGGTTTGCCATGTATGCTCCGGAGGAAATACCAGACACCGATATGGTGCTGTCAATATTGTATGAGCCTGTACGGAAGACATTATTAACATGTTTTTAATTTTTTCTTGAAATACATTAAGACATACATCAAATGCCTTGGTTTATTTCTTGCTTATATTGTTATCATAGGGTACAATCACTTTATTCTAATGACTGAAGTTGTGATTATTGTGTTATTGTATTTCATCACTATACCATTTCGGACGGTCAAATTTGCAGAATTTAAAAAATATATATTTTATTTTTGTAGTGCATAGTTTAACAGACATGCTTGCATTGACAATTCATATGATTATATATCACAATGAAAAATAGTAATGATAACATGAAAAGTCAAGAATACTGCACTTGGGACGGGGGGGGGGGAAAGAACACTATGGTATAGGGAAGGGGGAAAGAACACTATGGGATAGGGGAGGGGGAGAAAGAACACTATGGGATAGGGGAGGGGGAGAAAGAACACGATGGTATAGGGTAGGGGGAAAGAACACTATGGGACAGGGGAGGGGGGAGAAAAGAACACTATGGGACAGGGATTGGGGGGAGAAAAGAAAACTATGGGACAGGGGAGTTTGGAAAGAACACTATGGAACAGGGGAGGAGGGAAAGAACACTATGGGACAGGGGATGGGGGACCTGGCTCTGATAATATCACCTTAACCCACTCAGGGGGATTAGCTTTCTTTAAAATGTAAGCAGCAGCGGACACTGGACTAAAATTATAATCATCAAATAATTAATTTATTACTCAAAAAATATATATATATAAAAACTGTGCAAAAATACATAAACAATAAAATAATTCAAAGTCAAAGTCCTGTCCTTGATTAAAGTCCTCGAGACGCGTTTCGCCACAAGTGGGCTTTTTCAATCGAAGTAATCCTTTCACTGCCGCCATTCTTCTTTTAAACCTTAATCTCCTTCCTGATTCATCCCTTGACGTTGTCTTTAGCCAATCCGATATCCGGAAGCCGTGGGTGTTTCTCTCTCAGCTGTTTCTATTTTCCGTATTGGTTTACCCGGAAGTGACAAAGTTTTTAAACTTTAATGATTGGGGAATTCAACTGACAAGCGATTTCAGTAAAACAGAGGTAAATTTTTTAGATCTAAATATTTATGTGGAGGAGGGAAAAATTAAGACTAGAACATATTTTAAACCAGTTGATGTAAACAGCTATGTATAAGAAGGAAGCTGTCACTTTTCCCCATGGCTAAGGAATGTACCAAAATCTCAATTATTAAGAATTAAACGTAATTGCACGGAAGAAGGGGATTTTAATCAGCAATCTAAGAAAATTTTAAAGGATTTTAGCGAAAAGGGGTATGATAAAGCACTGTTAAATAAAGCACTGGAGGAAGCCCTTTTAAAAGATAGGGATGATCTTTTTATTCCGAAAGTTGGAAGAAAGGAAAACCGTATAGACCAAATACCATTTGTTTGTGATTTCAATTGTAAACATAAGGAAGTTAAAAGAGCTTTTAATAAATATTGGCTGATACTAACTAAAGATCCGATTTTAAACTCTATACTCCCTGATAAACCTAATATTATTTATAGAGGAGTATCCAACCTTAGGAGTAAGTTAGTTCACAGCCATCTACAAAAGAAAAGAGCCTCATTTAATGAAGAGGGTGGTTTTTATGGCTGTGGTAACTGTGGGGCATGCTCCAATACAAATAATAAGAAAAGGCATATTGAAGAGTTTCCACATCCAAAAAAAGATAAAGAGAGATTTGAAATTAAACAACTAATAACGTGTTATTCCAAAAGAGTAATATATATTATTATTTGTACATGTGAACTATTATATGTAGGACGAACGGCACGAGCACTACATGTGAGGATCCAAGAGCATGTTAGGAATATAAAGCGAGGATTTGAAAAACATAGCCTCTCATACCACTTTAAGATTAAACATGAAATGGATCGGACCCAACTTTCCTTTTTGGGGATACAACAAGTTATAACTAACTGGAGGGGGGAGGACCTAATAACAGCAATGGGGAAGGCTGAGATGAGGTGGATTTTTAACCTTAACTCCCTTACTCCATTTGGACTCAATGCTGATTTCGAATTGTGTCATTTTCTATAACACATAGTTTAACTATCATTATCATTAATATATATGTATATATATATTTTATGTTTATATATTTATTGATGCTTTCCTCCCCCAATTTATGATGTTGCTGTGTGACAGTAGGGTTTCCACTATATGTATAACTTTTGATATATATATGTACTTTTCTATGATTTTCTATTATACTGTAGCCTATATTGGAATCTACACATTTATTGATGTCTCCTTCCTCTATTTTAGGATGATTTTTATTATAGATAAAAATCTGGTATATACACTTTTCTACTGTAATTTAAGACTAAGTTACCTTTAACTAAACAGATTATAACCAGATGGGGACTTAAAATGTATTCTAATATGTATCTTTGTTCTTTTTCTATATTACTGCCTTCCTATGAGTTCTTTTTTATATGGACAAAACTACTGGCAATAACAGAGCGGTTGCCAGTCATAAAGATGGCGGAATACAAACCGGAAGTGACGTCGACGTTACGTCACTTCCGGGTAAACCAATATGGAAAATAGAAACAGCTGAGAGAGAAACACCCACGGCTTCCGGATATCGGATTGGCTAAAGACAACGTCAGGGGACGAATCAGGAAGGAGATTAAGGTTTAAAAGAAGAATGGCGGCAGTGAAAGGATTACTTTGATTGAAAAAGCCCACTTGTGGCAAAACGCGTCTCGATGACTTTAATCTAGGACAGGAGTTTGAATTATTTAATTATTTTATTGTTTATGTATTTTTGTACAGTTTTTTATATATATTTTTTAAGTAAAAAATGAATTATTTGATGATTATAATTTTAGTCCAGTGTCCGCTGCTGCCTACATTTTAAAGAAGGCTAACCCCCCCCTGAGTGGGTTAAGGTGATATTATCAGAGCCAGGTCTACCTTATTGGCTCTGAATAAGGTGAGCACTTCTACCATCTGTTATTTATATACATTTGAACATTGAATTATATTGGTAAAATACTACACTAGAAAGGAATTTTTTCATGTCTCTTATATGTTTTTTTGCTAAGAAACAAAGAAGGAACCTGAAAGAAGAGGGGTGTCTCCTAAAACACACCAGAGCAAGAACGACTCGAGACAGTCTATTCTTTGGCTCTACATTTGTGAGTTGATGATATTATTGCTTTCATTAACTAGATTCCTAACCAAACATATTTCATCATTGGACTATTTCTCTTTTTTCCCTCCCCATTTCTGTTTTTTATATATGTGCTGAGTTGTATTAAGAAATACCCCTAGGGGTAAGTATACATTATTATTTCTAGCGCTCCACTTTTGGGATTTTTAGGTGGTCGGTACTTTTGTTAACCTTCCTTCTAAGCTCCCTACTTTTAACATATTGAACTAGTGGTTAATTGGAAAGATCCACTTATAAGTGTTGTAGCCGCTGTAACGATCTTACATTTTAAAATATTTTCTAAGCGCCTGTTTGTTTCACACACTATCTTTTGCTATACTGTGGAAAGTTAGTTGACTATTGCATTACTAAGAGTATCTTACTCAAGCATTAATGAACTGCCTACTTCTAAAGGTTTGAGTTAAACAGGAAAAGTAAGTCTTTTTTTTTTTTTTTTCTTTGGAGAGGGTAAAAATACTCTTTGACATATTCTTTCTCTTACCTAGTCGGGACTGTGCATTGCAGATGCTGAAAAGAGCAAGGAGAAGAAGATAGCCCTTCATTCTTTACAAAGATGTTTTGTGCTATGAGGAGTATGTCCTAATGAACACTGGAAAGATCACCTATATATATGTGTGTGTAAATTGTTGTGGCACGCTTATAACCTTGTTAGGTTGATAAGCAGGTGGCTAAAAAACCATGTGAAAATCAAATGTTAAACAGCTTTAACAGCACCTGTTATTTCCAGTGATATTTAACGTTAAATAAATATAGAATGATTTAAATAAACAACACACATACACTTTTGTAACCCTATGAGTCCCATAGTTTTTTTTTATTCCGTAAACCATGGTGAAAAAATATTAGATATTATAACAGTATACAACCACTTGCATGAATCTAAATAGTTTTATATATTTCTACACTTTATCATTCATAAAGAATGATATGCAGAGAGATGCTTCTTTAGTGATGCTAACATTTAAGAATGGCTTTAAGCTGTCACTTTCAGTTTACAAACGCAAGATATATATGTATATATATATATATATATATACATATATATATATAGCACAAATCTGGGAAATCTTCTCTAAATAAAAGACAACATCTATCATAGCATAATACCTTTTAGTGAATAAACCACCTATGCAACCAATTGCACTCTCAAGATATAGAACTTAGCATGCGTATCTTAGAACCTTCCCTGTTAATTTTTGGGGACTGAGGACTCCCTCCTCCAGTGTTCAAAGATGTTGTTCCAGGAAAGTTTTAATGCACTTTCTTCTTTAAAAACAAATTTATTACAGCATCAAAAGTAAAATATAACAAACTGTGGGTCCTGCGCATTTCGTCTGCTGTGCAGACTTTTTCAGGTACTATAAAGCAAGTTTAATTATAAAACAATAAAGATAAAGCAGCATTTTAAAATTGCAGCATGAAACTTTCACATAACATTGCAGTTTAAATATCCCTCCCCGTGTGCCCATTGGTTCTCCTGGAGATGTGTTCTTATCCTCCTCCTCCACAGGTGACTCTTAATCTGATTTTGATTGTTACTTCTGGCTCCTTTTGCAAACTTATGCTGGTATATGACACCATGAAATTTGTTCCAATCGGCTCAGAATCACGTGATGCATTTGCTATACCACCTCTTGGTTCACGCCACTCCAATCCTCATGCCTCAGCCAACACTGAGTCTCCTCTCATGCTGTGTCCAAACATTCGGCCAATGCCACGGTCATGCATGAGGATGCATGCTAGGAAGTGTACGTGTTAACACATGATGCTATCTCTACCTGTTTCAAAATGTAAATTGAATGTAGCCCACATTACTTATGGGCTGAAACACATGTTATGCATTGTATTTATTTAATGCTTTTGCACTAATTACTCCAATTATTCCCTAATTATATGCACTGAATTCCATGCTAGAAACAGCTGATGCCTCACCGATACTGAATGTCCAGAAAACATTAAGTCACAATAAGAGAGATGAAATGTAAATTAGCTAACATTGGTGGTTTACAGAGTATAACAGAATACCACATACCCTGTATAAGCTATGATTTTCGTCCGTAATGTACTCTTGTACTGGTACCATATATTTAATGTGATAACATGGAATTCTACCGGAGGATCGTTATAAGTTGGTCTCAATATGATACTTAAGGATCTTTAATAGTAATAAGGTCATAATAGGTTCACTGGATGAATCCAATGGTGTTATTATTATAATTCCTTTGGTGTAAGAAAGCAAAATCTATGTATATGGCTGCCTTATTAGTATGACTTTGAACGGGTGACGTATTATATGTGAATGGTGCTCTATATATGCGTGTGAATGGTTATCGTAAGGTATTAAAGAAAATTACTATGTGTCATGTATTCATCCGCTTATAACAATGCGGTTAATTGTATTTACTGTCCACACAGGAAAAGTTGTGCCGAGCAGCAACCAAATCCACAGAAGGGTTAATGCTGAGCAGCAATTATGCAAATAGAAAACCTGGTAACTGCCTTGGGGGTCAAAGGCCGGTTACAGCCTATCAGATGTAGAGGAGGGGTATTTAGGCCCAGTTCTCATCCTGCTCAGTGCCCTGTCATGGTTTCCCTTGTGGTTGTCCGAGAGCGCGTTATTGATTTTGGTTATTCTGGTTATTTGACTTTGGCATTGTTTTTGACTTCCCTGTTTTCTGGCATCCCTGACTCCTGGGTTTTCCTTATCGTTGTGTCTCTTTCTGTATCCCTTGACCTCGGCTATTCCTGACTATTCTTTGGTACGTTAGTCCGGCCATTCTAAGGTCTGGTATACGTTCTGGTATACGTTCTGTTCTGCCATTGTACAGAACACTGGTGAGACCTCACTTGGAGTATTGTACACAGTACTGGAGACCGTATCTTCAGAAAGATATTGATACCTTAGAGAGGGTTCAGAGAAGGGCTACTAAACTGGTTCATGGATTGCGGGATAAAACTTACCAGGAAAGGTTAAAGGATCTTAACATGTATAGCTTGGAGGAAAGACGAGACAGGGGGGATATGATAGAAACATTTAAATATATAAAGGGAATCAACACAGTAAAGGAGGAGACTATATTTAAAAGAAGAAAAACTACCACAACAAGAGGACATAGTCTTAAATTAGAGGGACAAAGGTTTAAAAATAATATCAGGAAGTATTACTTTACTGAGAGGGTAGTGGATGCATGGAATAGCCTTCCAGTTGAAGTGGTAGAGGTTAACACAGTAAAGGAGTTTAAGCATGCGTGGGATAGGCATAAGGCTATCCTAACTATAAGATAAGACTAGGGACTAATGAAAGTATTTAGAAAATTGGGCAGACTAGATGGGCCGAATGGTTCTTATCTGCCGTCACATTCTATGTTTCTATGTTTCTACCTATCAGTCCTCTGTGTTACACAATTCTATGTGCTGGATCATTCTGTAATCCTGACATTACGACATGGCCATAGATCCTGTAGAATTGTGTAAGCACATAGCTACTTGTGAAAGGAAACTGGAGGATAATGATCACCGCATGGATCAATTTGCACAGGCCTTCAGTACGCTTCTTACCCGAACAGCGCATCTGCAACCTGCAGCCTCACCTCCATCTTGTGTACCTCCAGCTATAGTACACACGGCACCTACTATCTCCCTATCTCCTCCCCTGCATTTTGATGGTAATATTCAAGAATGCCGGGAATTTATTAACCAAATTGAGTATCACTTTGATGCCTCACCAGGATCATTTCCCACAAACAGAGCTAAAATTGGTTACCTGATGAACCAACTTAAAGGTAAAGCTTTAGCTTGGGCTAATCCGTTATGGGAGAGTATTGCACACAATTACCAGGAATTCCTTGCGGAATTTAAACTTACGTTTGAACCATTAGGCAGGGAGGATGACGCCTCCACTGCCCTAATGCGTATTAGACAAGGGAACCGGTCTATCTCGGAGTATGCCATAGAATTTCGCACCTTGGCTTCCGAGGTAGACTGGACTAACAGCGGATTAATCTCAGCATTTAAGAAGGGATTATCTGAGACTATGTTGGATGAGATTGCTGCCAAAGAACTACCCAAAAAACTCAATGAGTTTATTATGTTTATTATGCTAGATGATAATAGACTCAGAACCAGAAATATAACCAGATGTATGGCTTTGTCATTAGCACCTCATTTCTCAAGACCGGTTGTTCCTGACCTCTCTATACAGTCCGAACCCGAACCTATGCAGTTGGGGGTCACTAGACTGTCCGAGGCAGAAAGACAACATTGGAGAAGAGAGGGTCTATGCATATACTGTGGTGGATAACGGCATTTAACACAACAGGTCTTAGGTGTAATGGATACGTCCTCTGGGAATAACAATAATAGATTTCTCCTTGATATTATGATCATAGTTGACAAAAATAACTTTTCATGCAAGGCCCTGATGGACTCAGGTGCAGCAGGAAATTTCATTGATGTTCATTTTGTTAAAAAGAATGCTATACCTATCAAGGAGAGAATATCACCTCTGGCCGTTGAGATTATTGATGGGAGACCACTCTCTCAACCCTTAATTACCCATGAAACCTTGCCCATTAACATGTCTATTGGTGCCTTACATAAGGAAGATATAATATTCCAAGTTATTGCATCTCCTTGCCCTATCATATTAGGCTTTCCTTGGCTTAGTAAGCACAACCCTCATATTGACTGGGCTAATGGGGAAATATTGGAATGAGGCAAGGATTGTAATGGGAAGTGTATGTTACCATTACATTACCCACTACTACACCTCAAACCTCCAAAGTTCCCATACAATACTGGGAGGTTAAGATAGTATTTAGTAATAGTCAGTCCAATATCTTACCTCCTCACAGGTCATATGACTGCTCCGTAAATCTGTTACCCGGCGCTATGCCACCTAAAGGGGCAGTATATGCCTTATCGCCACAAGAGAGTAAAATAATGGAAGAATATATCAGACTCACTAAACAAGGGCCATATACAGAAATCATCCTCACCTGCTGGTGCAGGCTTCTTTTTTGTAGAAAAGAAAGATGGAGAATTACATCCATGCATTGACTACAGAGCATTAAATAAGATTACATTTAAGAATGCCTATCCTATTCCTCTCATTTCCGAATTGTTTGATAGACTCCAGAGTGCTAAGATCTTTACCAAACTGGATCTCAGGAGTGCATACAATTTGGTAAGAATCAAGGAAAATCATGAGTGGAAAACGGCATTTAACACTAGATGAGCACTATGAGTACCTTGTTATGCCTTTTGGGCTATGCAATGCACCGGCCATATTCCAGGATTTTATTAATGATGTACTCAGGGATTATATCTATTCTTTTGTCCTGGTTTATTTGGATGATATCCTTATTTATTCCCCTGACCTTCAAACCCACCACAAACAGGTCAAACAAGTATTGCAGACTTTACTGGAAAACAAACTTTATTGCAAATTGGAAAAATGTTTGTTTGATCAGACTGAAGTACAGTTTTTGGGGTATAACATTTCTGCCTCTGGTTTTCAGATGGCCCCTAAGAAACTAGAGGCTGATATACAGTGGCCAGTACCTAGCGGACTAAAAGCCATCCAAAGATTTATTGGGTTTGC